GACAAGAATAATAGATACACAGATGGAAAAGTAGTAAAATCACATTCAAATGTCATGACCACCTACATGAATTGAGCAGCATCATAATCAAAGCTCAACACATTAAAATAAATATTTCTAAACACTGCAAAACATTGAAAGAGGAAATTTTAAAATACTTTTGTGATGTATGACCATCAAAAGGTAATGTAACAAGAAAAAATAACAAATGAAAGAAAAGACCTAAAAACTACAAAATAGTGGCAAGAGATTGAGGGAAACCTAAATATACATGTAACAATATATTCCTAGATGCCAAGTGTAAGCAACAGCACAGTGAAACCAACAAACTAGAGCACTCCATGGACAGAAAGAAAGGTTTATTGAGGTTCAAACTGTCAAGGCTATGGGGGGGAGGGAGGGTTGTTGGAAAGACAAGAGCAAAATGGCAGAAAAGCAAGCAGATTTTATGAGAACTGTTACACTCTCTCCAAATTGACCAGAAACCAGATGTCCATGCCCAAAGTTCTCAATCTTTAGAGGAAATCAAGGGTAGCTTCCAGGAAACAGCCAACAAAAATCCCTCTTTTTACCACATCTTTTTACCAAAGATCTTCTGTTTAGGTGTTTAGAAAGTTAACACCAGCACTGCCATTGGGGGGCAGGTTTGAACCTAACACCTAGAATGAGTTTTATTAAAAAATACACTGAGCAACACCTCCACCCCACGCTATGTGGCTGAACTATGTGGGACACAACTAAATAACACTGCTGCGTTTCTAGCCCCAGCCCAGCCCGATGGGGCCGCCTCCAAGGAGAAAACACTGGCCCTCCTGGGGCATTACAATACCAGGCAGCCAGGCACCACTATGGTGAGCAAATGTATGGTGTGGTATGGGAGGGAGAGACAATGGTTCATGTCCTGTGGACAGAGGCATATCTGAAGAGGTGAAAGAGATGAGGATATGGCTGAGGTGGGTGGCTTCATTGCCGTGGTGATGTCTGAGCCTGAGCTGCTGTTGGAGCCCATGCCTGGGATCATGGCTCTGTTGGAGCCATTGTCTCTGTAGATGTCCCTGGCTCCTGATATTACCAAAGGCTAAAAGGATGGGGCCCTACATAGTTGGCTCCACCCCTCACTGGAACACTAGAGAGAACTGGTCCTGCCCATCACCTACTGATGTACTCAGGAAAAAGGATCCTACACCTCACATGGGCAACACAGTAGAGCTGGCCCTGAAGGTCAAGGTATGGGAGTGATGACCCTGAGGGATTGAAAGCAGAACTGGCCCCACCCCTTACTCATTACTACAAGAGGTGAACTAGCTGGGACAATGCTGGAGAGCTCACCCTGGTGGTGAAGACAGGGGAGAGCTGGTAGACTGACCAATCTTGCAATTACCAAGTCCCAGAACCAAGTTTATGAGTTGGTCCATCCCAACATCTACTCCCATCTATGAACTGTTTGAGCACAGAAAGGGCCTGTCCCAAAAACCCAAAGCTGCAGGATCTCCAGGACACAGGGAAACACAAGATATCCAATAGGAGTCCCAGTGAGGGCCCAGCATCTATCATGTAGCAGAAACCAGAGGCCTGGAAGCAGACCAATGACTTTGCAATGAGCACTCGCAAGTAAAGACACAAATGGACAAAGGGGTTTGTTACTGCAGGACTCAATATGTCACACTATAGTTCCCTTGGTGAGATCTTCCCTTTTTTCTTTTTTTCTCTTAAATTTTATTTTAATGGAGGGGGTTTCTGCAAGGACAGAGGGCAGATAAGAATGGATGGTAAATGAATGAGATGGAGATACATATGTAAAACACATAAAAACTGAATA